CAAGGGCTTGACGCATACCATCTGTGTCCTCTTCCAACCTAATATATTTCACTGCATACCTTTTTCCGGTGGGAAGATGTCGAGCAAGTCTGACCCTTCCCTGAGACCCCTTTCCCAACTCCTGGCACGTACGCAGATCCTCAAACCTTATCTTTTCCATACTCACATCATTTTTGTCATCCTTTTGTTTTGCGGCCTGCGCCGGAAACGCTGGACCAGAAGCCATAAAACTTTCTTTCACACGCATTTCAAGACCCCCATCACCCTTTACAACTAAGGTTAATGTGTCTGTAATCGATACCGTTTTCTCTGGAGGATCTATCCGTAGATTTTCAAGAACTGGTCTCTTGGGAGGCATGTGTGGCTATTAAACCACTATGGAAAAGCCTTTGAAAAATAAAAAAACAATTTTAAAAAAAGTATATAGACAAACATAATAATAATAATAATAATAATAGTAATAATAATAATAATAATAATAATAATAATAATAATAATAATAATAATAATAATAATAATAATAATAATAATAATAATAATAATAATAATAATAATAATAATAAAGTAACAAGAGCATCAATTGCCCCACAAGCATAATAATAATTAAAAACAGAATATCTCCCAAATTTCATAAAAACCATTTACAACTCTATTGTACATAAAATATCAAAAAAGCAACAAATGAACAAGTAAAAAACTAACAACAACAACAAAAGCACCTTTTATTTCTTTCCGACACCTCACTATGCCATCCATTCTTCGGTTTTCTTAATACCATTTTTTTTCCTCTGGTTTAAACTAAATTTCTTCATCGTCCATATCATCATCAACCTCAACATTGTCAAAATCGTTATTATCTGTTGACAATATAACGGCCCCAACACCCAAACTAATAATTACACCTTTCCTATTCCTACAACGGAGCAAATTGTCTTGTTTTCTCAAAAGAATTGCGTCAGATGATACACACAAAAATATAACACTTTGAATGCAAAACCTCAAGAAAATCCCCCGCTGCATAGCCCCTTAGCATTTCCCCTGCTCTAATAAAAAAAACCTTTTTATTCTCTTTTTCCTATGAACCAAAAGAAAATATTTTCGTTATAGGATTATTATTCACTTCTTCCCCGGCAAGTGTTCACTCTTCAACACTCTTTGTTTTTCTCAATGCAATCCAAATAATATATATATAACGCAAAGTGAAATATATCCTTCATTCATTTTTTCCCAATTACGTTTCCCGGAGGTAAAACACCTGCTTTTTCGCCCTTTAAAAATTTCTTCACACTTTGGTTTTAAAAGGAAATGCAACTGGCCTCGTTTACATCATCGATACAAAACACCATGGAATCACCTTGAAATGCCGCATTCTTGCAGGCATTAAGAATAGTACCGTATCCTTTTTCTTCGTCTACTAGATCATGCCTTTGTTTCATTCAAAAAAAGCTGTGATGACGATAGCGCCACGTGTGTCCCAGAGCTGCTGTCCTTATCTCGCGAAGACAAATAAAAATACCCACAACTTGTTGTGACAGAAAGCCATTCGAGACATTGTTAGAATAATTAGGATTTCCCTTATTTTCAAGATTTGACTCTATCATCCAATTCAATTCTCACACGATCTTCGCAGCTTCCCAAATTTCAGTTGGGAAAAAAACTGGGTTTTCCATAACAAAAAAAAAGCAAAAAAAAAAAATGTCACATTATTTCTTTTTTCTCTCGATGTATCAACCAAAAAGCACATGTTATCTTTTCGACTATCTTCAATATATTCCACCCTTGAAGAATACCATTTTTCAAATAAATGCTTCGAAGCACCATAGAATTTCTTCGAGGCAAGTGCTAACGGGTTTTCTTCCATGATTTTTTTCTTTTTCCTAAAAGGCAAAGGGTTTCATTTATTATTATTCTTATTTGTACCTTCAAAATAACATCCACTTTGAAAAAAAAAAAAAAAAAAAAAAAACACCTTTGATTTCAATAAATATTTGTCTATTTACATGACGTAGAAAGTATCACCAACTGCACCTAAAATAAAAGATGCCCTGCGAATAAGTAAAAATACTATTATTTCATTCAGTAAAAAAAAAAAAAAAAAAAAAAATTCTCCTTTGTTCTCAATTATTTAAATCCAGTTTTTCCAATACTGACGATAAATTTTCAGTAACAGGAAGAACTTCATCCACAAAGGCCAATGTTTGAGACTTATCCTCGGATAATCCAATTTCATGAACGCCATGATGACTTTTTAGCCTTTCTCTTTCAGATCGTGCCTTTGCACGACGTTCTTCTTCGCGTTTTTTTCTTTCAAGCATCTTGGCTTGTTCCAGAGCTTCCTGTCGAGCTCTTTCAGCCTCCTCCAACTCCTTCTGACGCAGCTCTTCCCTCCTTCTTTCTTCTTCTATGGCTCGTTCTTGCTCTTCCCTGATTCGTCTTCTTTCTTCCTCTTCTCTTCGAAGTCTAATATTCAGCTTCATCAAACAGAATATCCGATGGCACTCACTAATAAGGAAAAGAGCGTCACAAAATCCATCTAATCCTTTTTCTTGAAAGAGCCTCAAAAACTCTTCTTCTATGAAGATAATATTCTGTTCTC